TCACACTGAGACTGGTTCTAATGGAGGTTACTTCCTGTTCAAAGGGAGTTTTTCCTCTCCACTGTCGCTACAAGCATGCTTAGTGTGAGGGATTGCTGAAGAGTCAATGAGTCGATGTAATCAACTGGTTTTCCTTAGATAGAAAACTTTTAACCCAATCTCACTGTATGATCTTATTGAATTGTCTCTTTAAAGTGTCTTGATATGACATGTCTTTTGAATTAGCGCTATAGAAATAACTGAACTGAATAGAAATCATAATTTCAAATAAATAACTTACAATTTCATTAATTGTGATAGATTAGCATTTCTGTGCCATTTGCCCTTCATTTTCTGTGTCAATGTGTCTGATGGTTTACATCGAGGGGTTTAAGAAAATAAAAATCCCATGGATGATGTAGAGGTTAAACTGCGTACAGCTCATTTTTCAAACACAGCCGTCTGCATTATGCTGAATCTGAAGGACATTTTCACTTTTTCTGATATTTACACTGATAGTTTCCTAGACCAGAATTAACGGAGTATTCAGCACCGCCATTCTCCCATAACGTGTTTGTTCAGTCACAGAGCCATGCGTGAAAGTCTTAAACCAACTTTGGCTGTGTGGGTGCGTGCATGTGTGTGTGGGCCGTGGGTTTGGGGAGTTTAAAGAGTGGGGGCCTGTCTGGGAACTGCTCTCATGGGAACAAAGAGAGCAGTGTCTGACCCTACCCTGGGACAGTGTTGATGGGCCTCTTCTCTTGCCTCGAAGATGGCTGATATCTGACCTTAACAACCTCTGCTCCCCACACCAGCTCCTCACCCTTCATCCCTCTGCTGTCTCTTCTCAGGACGTCTCGGCGGCTTCCCATGCAGATCGATGGTGAGCCCTGGATGCAGCCGCCCTGCACGGTGAGAACTTAGCAATACGCTGTCATTCAAACATCTGCAATCACACAGAACATTGCTGCACCATCTTGTACTTTACAAATCATATCGTTCAGTCTCGGACAAAAGGTTCCCTTCTTAGATATTTGGTTTTAAAATTAAATTAAGCAGTCAAATATATCAGTACTTTCAGAAGTTTGAATTCTGAATATGACCGGCCTTTTCCTTTAAATAAACTAGTTTTTATGCACATAGACATTCAAAGTTAGATGCAAACAAACAAGCTGTATTTGCCTCCTTTGGGTCTTTGGGGTTCATGTGAGTTTTATCTAAGGGGATGAGCTTAGATGCTTTCTAAAACAGCAGCTTCCAAACTCCAAATTGCAGAAGAAATGCAGAAAGATGGAGAAAAAATGCCTCCAGCCCTCTGCAGCTGCAGCAAGAAGATTTCTGGAAGCTATTTAATCACCTTCCTTCCATTTCACATGTATTAGCTGCGTCTTGTTGGTCTCTTAAATGAATTCCCAATAATTTGATGTACGAACATGTAAATAAAATGCTAAGAGGTTCAAGGAGTATAAATACCTCAGAAAGGGGCCGCCTCTTAAAGCCTGGCAGGCAGAGCGCCCTACCAAGCTCGTGATGTCCTACTTTTGTCGTGTCTTGGCTCGTTTCCCGGATCTTTCACTCAGCCACCTCTGCACAAGCCCAACCTCGACCTCCAACAATGTCATTCCATCAAATCTCACAGCATATTATTCATCTCACAGGGGGGCGTTGGTTAATTGTCACAGTGCAGCAAAGCCTCTCCTGTCAGTTAATTCAAGACTACAGCGAGTTATTTTCCTGTACAATGACAGGAAGTGATGACTGCCAGCCTAGCAAGCAGACTTGTTCAGATTTCAGATTGAATCCTTTTCTTTTCCTTCTTTTCACAGGTCAGAATCACGCACAAGAACCAGGTCCCCATGTTGCTGGGCCCACCTCAGAAGACGCCGTTCTTCTTCTTTAAGAAACGCAACTGCAACCGCGACTAGCATCACCCCCATACACACCTCAAAGATGGACACACATTCCTACAGTACATAGGTGCAGACATACAGACCATCAGCCAACAGCCGTGATTCCAGATTCGAAGGTTCATTTTCGTCCTGACATTTTGATGTCTACATTCTGTTTCATTTACAACAGAACCGAACAAACAGAACAAACCATCAAAAAACATTCGACCCATCAGCCTCTTAAAAAGTCCCGCCCAGGAAACCCAAATCCAACACCAGTAGTGCACTGCCAGCCGAACTCTGCTGCAGAATCTGCCGCCCCGTCAGAAACTGAAACACGCTACAGTGAGGAAGGCTGCCCACTGTTCACGGTGAAATCATCAGCTTGGTCTGCACACCTGCATGAATAATGCAGCCGCTCGTATCCGGATCTCCCAACAGACCCTCATCCCGCCACAGGAAAGAAAGACCTCCTCCATAATTCACTGGCTGTGTTTGCAGACGGATGGCCTGCAGAGGATGGGAGCCTGCAGGGACTACGAAGTGTCACATCCTACGAACCCAGAGGAAAATATGGGAATATTATCACTTTATAATCAATCGGGACTGAAATAGAAAATAGAGACGATGAAGTTTGCTTGTGTTTTCTGTTAGAAAGTAATGCATGTGCTGTTAGACCAAAATCCTGGTGGATGTAGAATAGAACAGCACCCACCTCAACCTTCTAGGCTGAAATAATAAACCCTCTCAGGGGTTTTTAAGGACCAGTTATTATCTTTTTCTTGTTGTTATTATTTAAGAAGTAAAACAAGCTGATATATCTACTCCAGGGAGCATTTCTGTCACTGCACTGCTAAAG